TTTGTCAATATATTTCTGAAAATGCTTTGCAATCTCGCCAAATTTGAAATATATAGAAATTTTACCCCATCAGAACTTTTAGTTCACTTTGAGTGGGTTGTCTGACCTAAACATCATGTTTTGGATTCGAAGTTTTGCTTTAAGTTGCCAAACATTCCAACTTTACAAATGTACCCAAAAATTTTTTAAAAGCATGCAAGATAGATCCATTAAGTTATTACCTCCACAGAAAATCAGCCCTGGCAAAATTATTAGGAGCATAATCATATCATAGAATAAACCAACAAATTTTACAACATGACAAAACCTTTCACAGACTTGCTGCATCAACATTTCAACACCCACCAAACTTCTCCACATCTAAAGTCAACAACCACCATGCATCAACATTTAAATCTTTCTCCATCTCCAAACACTCATTGCATAGCAATCGCATCAAATATCCACATATTTTCTTCCCTTAACAGAGCAATAAATATATACTCAAAACTACTTTTAACATCAAAATTATGAGTCTGGACACTACGAATTATTCGTTCCATTCGACGGCTTCGCGAGCCCCAGCCTTGACGCGACCGCATTCGCTATCAGCTCATTCGCTTTATCTGTCGGATGATACTCATCCCAGAACACATACTTGCTTCTATCTTTACACAATGATGACAATGGAGTACATGTAAGTGTAGGCCTGATCTTCGCCACTCGACAGCATGGCTCATTCGAGTTCGTAAAACCTGCAAATACGAAAATAATAATTTGTCAAACATTAATTTTCATAATTTGATCTGAAACATTTGGCAGAATTTACAAACCATATATCTCAGGGCGATTAATAAGATCCAAAAAGATATTGTAGGCATCTCCAAACTGGAAGGTAGCATTTGGAAGAGTTTTTGACAGATTCTCAATTACAGCCCTGGTTTTGTTGTTGAACATAATGGATAGTTTGTTTGTAGATTCCTGACACTCTCCTGATAATGTCATGAATCTCTGCAAGGGGATACATCCCATAGGTCCTAAACCGAAGAATGTAAGTTTTCGCGCACCTAACGAGTACAAAAGCTGCAGAATTTGCACAGGTTTGATTTTTCAATCAGAGTTTTGCAGAAAAAAATGTTTATTTTTGCAGAATTTGAGTTGTTCTGAGAATTTTGGCTTACTCTTAGTTGGCCTTCGAGCGATCTTACGACGTAGTTTGTGAAGGTTTCGCCATTATAAGTCCATGAATCAGCATAGACTGGCAAGAGAAAGTTGTTGATGTAATCGTTGCTGCCCAATGCTACAACGTAGTGAGATTGTAGGAAGAATTTGGTTGCGGCCTCCTCGCCAAGTTTCATCTTTATCATTTCCTGAGTTCCTTGAAACAATTCGATTTGCTTCGAAAGTGAAAATCTTTGAATCTGGAATGCAATTTTTTTATCCATCATTGCAGAAAAGTATGAAGAGCAGTTTGTTTGGATTCAACTAAGGGTTAAATTTGTTAGATGACTTGTAATAAGGTTTAGAAAACCGGATTGGACCGGCCTGACCGGCCTGTTTAACTGTGAATCAGCCAGAGGTTTGGTTCCGATCGGCATAAAGAACCCCTCACATAGAACGGAACAACCTTGAATTGGATTAAACCGGTGGTTCAACCCTAGAACCGGCAAACTGGCACTGGTTCCAAGGAACCGTTCGGTTCACAGGCATTTACATCCTTACTACCCAATTCTTATGTATTTACATATCTAACACCTAAATTTTATTTTATTTTATTCATTTTTACAAAACAAATCTTTGAAATCATATCGAAGATACAAATATTTTAAGAGCTAAATATTATTTGTTTATTCATTATTTAAGTAAGTCGAGCCATAACGAGCCATATACAATCAAACAAAAATTTATTCGTATTCTGCTAGTTTATAAATCGAGCTAAAAAAATGTATTCGTGTTTGGCTCGTTTGCTTAACAAACGAATCAAACACAAGCTATTGGCAAGTTTTAGCAATCCTATCTATAGGACACAATATCTCATATCTAAACTTTCAACTTATATAGGATTTTGGTGTTTTAAACCTCTGCATGAGAATATCTGTTTCACTTTTAAAAAGTGGTAGGTATTTATATGAAAGTTTAGGTGTGATATATGTAAATATATAAGAATTGTGTGTTATTTATGTAAATGCCGCTACAATTTACTACATTTTTAATTTACAGAAACTATATCAATCAAATGAGATAGAATTTTAATACTTACAAAGAGAGATGATGTTTCATTCAAGATGCCACCACCTCCTGATGCATAGCTAACTCCACTGTTGAGTATAGTTTCGTCATCCAGTGAAGGGTCCAGGAAAGCTGGCGGCCTTGGAAGACCCATTTTGTCACCTGAAATAGAAGGAGACCAGACCTTCTCATTAGTCATCTCTTGGGCCATTTACATTCATACCACTCAAATCATAGGTATTTACATATCTAACACATTTTTTTTTCTCTTTTTTTATGTTTATACCACCCATATCTTTCCGATCACTAAAAAAAATGCCATTATTTTAATTTTAAAAAGTAAAATACATATTTTTCATATGCATGGGTAAGATAGCATGTACCTAAAAATTACAGTTTAGGTGTTAGATATGTAAATACATATAATTAAACAAGAGATTTTTAACTAGCTGAAGATAGGCTGTTTGCGTGTTTTCCTGTGACAAACTTAATTTCATGAAGTTTTATTTCTTTGTGGGAATAAATTCTTAATCAGATTTCTTAAATCTGAATTTACTTTATAAAAGAGATGGAATACTGAACACAAAAATAATCGCTTTATTGTAGCGTTGGATTTATGTTGGTGTTTTGATTAGATTTAAGTTAAACCCATACTAAATCTATTAAAAGTATGCTCCCAAACAACCCCTAACATTGAATAAGTTAAATCTTAAGGGACTACTCTACTCATAAGTAGGGCCGTAAGAACAGCTCGCTGTTCGCAAACAGCTCGTGTTCGACTCATTAGAAAGCTCATATTCAGTTCGTTCGCTAAGTTAACGAGCCGAACACGAACAAAAATTTGTCCGTTCGTGTTTGACTCGTTTTGGCTTGAAATACCACTCACCAATTATATATATTGAGGAGTAGTATTTTTAAAAGTTTTAATTGACTACAATGCTACAAAGATTTGAAATCAATTAAAAGTATTTGTTAAGGAATTAGAATAAAAATTATTAAATTAGATTCAAATGATGTTTTCATATAAACAATAATTTTTAAATCTGGTCCCAATCCTTGACATCTTAAAACTACATGCATAGGGTTGTCAAAATGACTCTTTGTTCATGAACAACTCGTGTTTGACTTGTTAAACAAACGAACTGAACACAAACATACTTTTTGAGCTCGAAATATGCCTCGTTTACACCCCCTACTCATGACGCAGTTATCAACAAGATCAAATTCCGTCATAACACTATCAGATTCTCTTCAATCAATTTACTAACAAAGACAGAACTTTACCGACTATATCCGCAATGGTGCGGCCATTAGTGAACCTTCCATTCGGCACTCCGCTGCCGAAATCAATCCCATACCACGGCAAGGCAGCACGAGCCAAGCTCTTGGTGAGATAGTTATTGTTCCCAACATCCGACAGCGAATCCCCGAACACAAACTGGACAACTCTGCAGTAGCATCTTCTTTCTCCCCACCCTAAAGCTGCAAGCAGAAGAACGAAAATGGTGGCCCTAACTCTTCCCCCGAGCTCATCCATTGATTGCTGCGATGGGGTCTGGGAGCAACTTTTGTGGGGTTATTTAATCAGAGGTGAGGGGAGGGAAGTTTTTGGAGTGTGGTTGAGAGTGGAGTTGAAGAGGAGGGAGAGGGGAGTTGGAGCTTGGGGAATTGGAAGCGTTGGATGAACAAACACTGACCTAACTTCAGCTGATGATGTGACTGGCATTTTAGTTAGGACGGCTTTGG